TATAGGTCAGTCCAACCATAGCATACTTAGAACCATATTTGGAGAGGAAGAGCTTTAGATAAGGGATTTCATTAAAGATAGCAGCGACCTCACCACTAGAGAGAGCTTGATCATATTCTTCAGGCATATCGTAAGCCTTCAACTTTTCATCCTTAAATCCCAACTGATCTCTTAGAAGCCTTTTGACAAAGGATTCCCTTTGATACCCCACACAGTAATTATTCTTCAGTATCTCTTTCACATCCATGAACTCAAGCTGTAATCTTTGTATCGTTAACATGGAAGCTAAACTCGCTGTGTAACTTTGTGTTATGATCAGCACCACAAATATCCATATGATTAGCACAAAACATGACCAGTTGTTCACTAATCTCTCCTCTGTCAACATTAAACATAGTAATACTTAGAGATGAATGTGGTTGTCCGCCTAAAAGACAAGAGACTGTATGAGATTAAGAGGATGTCTAATTACTGTGAGCAAAGACCAAGGTAGAAAAAGAAAACCAAAACATCATGCTGAGTTGTTGCTGTGGAGAGCCCTGAAACTGTATGTTTGATCGGCGTTCATGAAGCCATATAATGGTACCTGTGATGATGAATGCTATACCTGTGGCTAGCCAAAGACTTGGACTCTAAGGCCTTAAGAAGATCCGCATGTTTGGTCTCTCTTCGTGCTTCATAGAAACTACCATTGACACACCAGATTCTGAAAATGGCAACGTAAAGTCAACATGTTCAACAGGGCTAGCTACAATAGTTACGTCTCCGACCACAACATCATATACTTGCCAGTAATTTTTTTTAAAAAAAACTAATATATCATCTGTAAAATAGCTTATAGTAATATACGGAACCAAAGATATTATTTTAAGCGTAAATGAAAACTTGCCCCCTTTTCAATTTGTAGAATTAGCTCATCATAGGACCCTTTTGTCTCTCCATTCGGTTTCTGGAATGGGAGAAACTCATATGGAAAAGGAAATGGTAACGCTTTGACCACTTCAAGAAACACATCAATAGCGAAGCCACAGAATTTTGGTGGACCTTTTGAAGATTGCCTCTCCACTTTCAAAAATTCAACAAAACCCTTTGTTCTTACAGGGACCCCAATTCTCAACTTGGTCGGTTGATTTACCGTGTCCCCTGGCCATATTGGTTGCATCAATTTCCCTTTCTCACTTTGATTGTCATGGAATAGTCCTTTCTGTAGATTCCAATATCCAATGACTCTCTCTCTCTGTGTCCCACCACATTGAATATTTCAAGCCCTCAAGGCATGAGTTGTACTCCACTCAAATTGAAATCCCCAGAGAGGCCTTCGAATTTAGTATGCAAGATTCTGTTGACAAGTGTCACATCTTCATTAGAATTTGCAAAATTCAGACTCTACTACCATGGCTAACGCCCCAACTGTGTCATAAGCCCAAAGTCCAAACAAGGTTAAGGGACAAGACTCAATGCCCTTTTCAATTGACAAAGCTTCCTTCCATCTACTTGTGAAACCTCTAAGCCTTTTGGAGTTCTCCATCTTCGGCCTCACCCCCGAGACACCTTGCATAGAATCCATCACTTCTAAACTCAAAGGGTCTAACTTATTAGATAGCCCTTCAGTGACTATCCACCCATAGCCTTCGGTCATCATCCTAGCCTTGTTCACAACTAAGAAAAATTTAGACCCAAGATCACTAGTCATGTGAACTAGAAATATTCTTGGTCGACTTTGATTTAGCTTTTTCAGCTCTTCTAAAATTTCAGATTCCTTAGAATTTGGATTGATGATGCTTCTGTAAGGCACTCGCGAGTTAACTTTTTCCAAAGCGTCTGTGAGATGTGGAATCATACCGTTGCCGTATTCGTTGTCTTCATAGATTAGGATAATTTCACGCCATCCGTAAGCTTCAACAATGGCAGCTATCGCCTTCACTTGTGGGTAATCATCTTGTGCTGTCCTTATGAAAAATTTGCTTCGTGTTGGAGAAAGGGACGGGCTTGTGGCTGAGAACGAGATGATGGGCACGTGAAGTTTGCTCCCAAGTTCTATTACAAACCTTGTTTGTCCCAACCTTTGAGGTCCAATAATTGCATGGACCTTTTCATTCTTCATCAAATCAAAAGCTGCATATGCAAGCTTGTTGAAAGTTAGGTAACATTTTAAGACTTAAATAGATTAAAAACAAATGTATTACCTGCGGATGCTGCTCTAACGACATCATTCTCAGAATCCCTAGTTCGAAGATCAAGCCTTGTTTGATAATGAGGACAACGTTTATAAAAGTCATGATGTGCCATTCGCATGCAGCGCATAGCCAAAATTCCTACTGACGAGTTTAGATCAAGAACTACCCCTACTGGTATTGGTACCTCCTTTACCTTCAAAGGCCTTGCCCAGAAGCATAGCAACCAAAAGCAACAAAACCAGAGGTGGTAACGGTGAAGGCTTTTTGTCTCCTGCAAGCTTGACATGGACATTCTGATTTGGTATTTGCTCTCAACTATCTCATGTTCATATATAGCTTAATCCTCTAATCTGTATACATTGGGTGCTGTATCCTTGCGTGAGACCTTGAGGGGAACCATACATATACGGTACAGACTAGGAAGGGCGCCATTTGTGCAAATCATCATTGATATTCCTTTGTTTGGTTTAATTTCCTTGAAATTTCATATATCTTCCAAATCATACTGACATAAATGAGAGTAAACGCTTTCGCTCTTCAATGAGGGACCATTTGTGAGACTGTGGCTTTCGTACATAGCACGCTAGGTAATAATAAAGTTAAGTTAGTGTGTGTTGCATATACAGATTTTGTCTGGTTTCTTTTCTTTTTTGATGTAGTTTGCAGTTATCTCATCAATAATTAATGTTTTGAACTGGATTATTTAAAATTGAATTTCTAAAGTTTGAGAAATTAAATGTGAATACTAATAATAAAAGATAAATATAAAATGCATAACTATTTTGCATGCAATTCACTAATCTCACTCAAGTTATATCCCGATTTTTTTTTCTTTCTTTTCTTTTCTTTTTTTCCCCTGGATGATGTGGATTCCAAGTTACTGTCTACTGATATGACGATAGTGATTCGAGCTGGGAGAGATAAGAGAACGTGGGCTGTATGTACGAAATAGTACAATGACTTTTTGCGAGGAACATTAATTGAACATTAACTTTCATAAAAAGAAAAAACAAATTGAACATTAATGTTTGTTATCGTTAGTGCTGGCAAGATAGATTCGTCTTATGATTTTCCTGCTTTCTTCATTTCAATTAAATATATTAAAGTGACACCGGCGGGTAATTAAAAAAAAAACAAAGAAAAAATATATATCAGAGTGAAATCATGGCAAAAGGCAAGACGAAGCGAAAGGGTTTGATTAGTTGTTGTAGTAACTGTAAGCTGTTTCCCGTTGACTGTTTGGTCAACTACTTTTTGTTGTGTTAACTTTGTTCGTGTTGTGCTGCTATGTTAGTGAGATATTCTTAACAACTTAATTGTAATTAATTACTTGCAAAATATATCGTAAACATTAGACTTATTGCCTTTCAAATGGACCTAAACAGTGCTTAGTTGCTTACTTCAAAACTTTTCATGTGCTGCTAAGTGATTAATTTTAATAGATATGGGCCGTTTGTTTAAGATTAAAAAATTAATGATTTTTAATTAGTTTAGAGATTTTATAAAAAGAAATTTATTTTGTACAAATTTTATAAAAACAAACATTATTTTATGTTTAGTTACAATAATAAAAAAATAATTATTAGTTAGTTATTTTTAAATTTTATGGTTTTGATTTTTTTATAAAAATAATTTATTATTATATTATTTTAAATTTTTATAATATCTTGTGCATTCCGTCTTTTTAAAACACTTTCTCACATCTATCGCATTTGATTATTTTCAAAACCAACTTAAAATAACTTCTTAAAATAATTAAAAATATACTATTTTTTGGATTTTGATTGTTTTTAAAAGTTTAATCAAACATAATAAAAATTCACAAAATAACTTCTTGAAAAAATAAATAATTTTTTATAAAATAAGTTAAAACAAACGGGTTCATAATCAATTTCTTAGTTGCAAGACTAGAATGATGGTACTCACATTCTTTTTTGTTTTTGTTTTCACTTTCTTCTATATGAATGATTAAAGACATATTTTTTTTATAAATCATTCGGTATCTTGGGATATCTTGGGTTCATTACCCACCTCAGACTAATCTAGACCCTCCCAAGAAAACCTTACAGTGATAACGAGATACTAATAAATGATCTCTTTGAAGCTGTATTAATTATTATGTCTATCACTTTCTAGGGTTTGAACACTCACCTTAAAAAATGCCAACCGTAATCCTTTCCAATTCGATCAAACGCCCATTGGTTGGTTAAAGACATATAGATGAATTTTTCCGAGGCCTCTGTGGATTAGCCTAAATGGCCCAATTGGCCCTACATGTCCCTGTGCATTTTCTTCTCCAGGTGGGCGTTGGGTTTGAGAAAGTTCTTGCGATCTTGAAAATAATGAGAGGGTTTACATCGTCCATGAAAAGCTACATATGGTTATTTATTTGTTTATTAAAAATAAAAACGATCCTATAGTATTATATTCCATATGCATATGAACCTGAATGAGAGCTCACTATTTTAAATGGAGTCTAAGCCAAGCCACGAGTCACACAATTCAGTGCTTCGATTTGCATGGATGAAAAAACTCAAAGCATTTTCCTTGAAAAGCGATATAAGTATTAATTTTCCAATATATTATTGAAGATATATAATCTATCCATAAGGTGCCAACCAAAAACAATTTTAAACAAATAAAAAAAATAAGACAAGGCGCAAAATGCTGCATATATATCATATAAATAAAGCATGAAATTGTAGTTTTATAAAAAATTAGCTTTAACGTGGGAATAATTTGCCATCACCATGTGTAAGTACTTACATATAGGCAATGTCGATATCTATGGGTGACAGAGACGTCTCTGAGATTTGTCCATGGTTATATATTCTCCACTTCCAATCCAATATTTTGATTACTTTCTCTGGTTGTTAAACCTTCTCCATCAACATTTCTTCTTGCTGCAGAACCTCCCTCTAATGGACTAGTTCTTGCAAAATTCCAACTTATTAGCAATCGTCTGCTATACGAATTTGCAAGCATAACAGGCTTTTGCCAAATATGGCTTTCAGAGACTGTCAAAGCTAAAAGTGAAAGAATTCCAATTGCCATGAACAATCCTGCAAAGCTATAAGTGGTAAGGCTGGAACTCGCATCATCTGGTGATGATGAAGTAGATAAGCCTTGGCCTTCATAGTCCTCATGATTCCTTCCAAAATATTTTTGCTCAATCTTGTCCATTTCTTCACTCTCTCTTACATTTAATATAGCTCTAGAAAAATACGCAGTTAAGTTGGAGCCCATGGGAAATGCCTGGAAAGTAATGTAAATCAACATTTACTAGACAGACAAATAAAAAACAGTTTTTAATTTACTCAAATTTATCTCAAACTACAATATGTGCAATTAGAGGAAGATGAACAAGCTATAGTAGGTTGAGATGATCCTGATTTGCAATGTCAACACCAATATATTGTTGATAATGAAGTATGTTTTTGACCATCTAATTGATTAACTAGATTTAAAATGGACAAAATTAATCTATATATGTCTGATAAAAGGCATAGAGATGGAAACTCACAAAAGCAAATCCATCAATGCGATGTCTAGTTTCGACCATGGCATAATTGGAACCATACTGCTTGAGGAAGATTTTAATGTGGGAAATATGATCAAAAATAGCGTCGACGCCACCTTTACGGCTTCCTTTGTCCAAAGCCTCCCTATATTCTTTAATGTCAGGGTAGTTCTTCACCCTGGACCTATCAATCCTCAAGCGATCGACTAATAAACCTTCAACAAATGAGTAACGATGGTATCCAACATTAATGTTGGGGTCTATTATGACGTCATGCTCACTGACGTAACGAGGTTGGAGCTGATTTATTGTCAATATTGATGACAAGCTTGCTGTGTAACTTTGCATTAGCATGAATGCGAGTATCAACCACATCACCAGCACAAACCTAGAACAATTTTTGACCAATGCTTCTCCTGCAAAGAGGAACCCAACTTTTAGGTAAATTAGTTAGTATGATAAATTGCATTCTTCATAACTTATTACAGTGTATTTTCGGGCTTCAAATCCTTGCTGCTGTAGCAGGTTCAATTTCATTTCGAACTTCAAGCATTGACACAATTACAGAACTGTTATCTTAACATGAGTCTCAAATGAAACGTAATCCTGATATCACTTGTAAAGACTGAAAAGCGAAGATCGAAAATAGAAGAAGAAAACAAATAGGCGTCAATAGTGGGGCATCGGATCTTAAAGCTTTAAGGTTTTTTATGAAATGCTTCCACTTTATTATATAAATTGTTCTATTATGAAATTTTATCAATATTTACTTTTTTATTTTTTGCATATAAATTATGCAGATTTTGTATATTTTAAAACTAATTCTAAAATTCTCTATTTGTTTACATGCACTATTTCCAAAATTTAAAAAATTAAATAAAAATTTTATATAAACTTTCTTTAATTCTTCAAAAGTTTGTAAATTTTCCTCTATTTTTTAATTATGCACAAACCTTCATGAAAAGTAGAAAAAAAAGTATGCATAACTTCATAATATATATCAAGGGTTCTTGTTATTTACTTTTTCTAAAAAATATGTATGGTTTAAAAATAAAAATTAAATAATATTTCATCGCAATTTTCAAAAAACTTAAAAGATATTTGTATAATTTATTTTTTAAAAAAAATACCATAAATCTGGGAAATAGATAAAAGTTTTCCTATTTCCTATAAAATTCAAAACATGGGTATGGTTTTTCTTACAACTCACTATCAACTTATTTAATTTCTAAAAAAGAAATATTTCCTGAAGCATAATACTCTCTCTATCCCAAATTATAAGACACTTTTAGATAAAATTTTACATATCAATAAATCTCATTAAATAAACTTAACAATCTTATCTTTTTAAAATAAAAATATAATATTTTAAAAATACTCATTATTTAATATATTAAAAAGAGAAAAGACAGAAATTAATTATAGAGAAAGAAAAGATAATATTAAAATTGACGCCTTTAATGAAACTTTAACCTACTTAAAGTGTCTTATATTTTGAGATAAATTTTTTTTTAAAAATATCCTATAGTATGAAACGGAAGTAGTAACAATTAATAAAAAAATTGCGTTTAAAAATTATCTACGCATTCATTGTTTTTTGAGTTTTGTGGACACATTTAATTCTCTTTGCGGAAGTCAACACCTTGAAGTTTGACTTACTCATAATCCAAAGAATAAACAATCTCTTCTCTTTTATTTTCGTACAAAATGCGCAAGGGCTATATGAAAGCTACGACTTTTATTTTTTGTTCATGCGTATAGAGTTTTATATCCTCATACATACATAGATACAAGATTTTATATCCACATGCATACATACATACATACATAAAGATCATATAGCTACATATTCCAACGCCAATCTCTCTCCCTCTCTCATAAAGCATCTTGCAATTATTTTGTCTGAAAAGAAATCATATTACTGCGCAACTCGCCCCAATCTAAATAGCTAGTCTTCCCTAACTTTCAAATTGCACTTTCTTTTAACTACGAAGGAGATGAGCTAAATTAAGGTAATAAGAGTCCATCAAAATTACTCTCTTAATTCTAATTTATAAAATACTTTTAAACAAAATCATGTATATCAATAAAATTCATTAGATACACTTTACAGCTTTATTTTTAAAAAATAAAAATATAAACTTTTAAAAATGCCCTTCATTTAATATTTTATTTGTGAAAAAATATTGAAGAGAGAGAATATATAGAAAAGGTAATATTATATTTGAAAAGTATCATTAATAAAATTTTATTTTTATCAAATTATCTTATATTTTGAATGTCAAGTCTCTTTTAAAAATATCTTATAAATTGAGATGAAGTAAGTATAAGTATTATATTAGTTTGCAATTAATTTTCAAGAATCAAAACATTCTAGCATTTATATTGTACAAATCAAAATGCACATCTAATTAATTTCTTTACCATAATTCAAGGTATCTTCTAGAAATCTTGCTTTGTCCCAAATATAGAGCACTGAGTAACTTTTATAATTATTACTTTTTTTTTTCAAAAATGATGCATTGAAATTTTATTTATCATTATCAAAGCAATTATATAGGGTATTTAATGAGGGTAAAATTGAAAAGATATAAATTTTTTTAAAAAAATTAAAGTTTGAAATAACATTTTTTTATAATCATATATTAATTATCAATACATTATATTTTGGCCCGGAGTAGTTTGGTGGACTTTTATCCCGTTACATTTACTGAATCTACTTTTTCACTCTATCAAAATCCAATTATATATGAACAAATGCAACTATAATTAAACTAATAATACGTACGGGTATATACATACATAAAGCAACAGGGACTAGGGAGCTCACTTTCAGGAAGAACTGCTTGTTCAACTGGAAGCCACAAGATAGAAACCCCACTGAGTTGTTTCTTGTATGGTGAATTTTTACATGCTGAATCTTCCTTGACAGTACGTTCCATTAACGTTATGATAGCTCCAATAAAAACACTGAAGATGGTAATAGACAACCATAGATCCCAACTAAAAGGTCGTACAAAAACCCACATATTCAACCGTGGATCATGACGAACCTTCACAAGCATCTTCACATCAGATGGTGCATATGGTAATGTAAAATCAACATAGTTTGATCGATATGCCAGAATCGACACATCCCCTACCACAGCGTCATACTGTTTATCAAACAATAAGGAAAAGCTTTGTTATGAATGGCTCCGAATAGAATGAAGAATAAATTCAGAACATGATGAATATATGCTGTTTCTGAGAGTGTAAAAAGCTTTCTGTAGATTCTCTTCTTAAACCGACAAGGGCAATTTAAGGTAAAACGAACAAAGCAAGTTAGGAGTTATGCAAAATTGTTAATTGCATCAATCTCCAATCAGTAATCGTAGATCAAAATGTAATCATCAAAAGAATAAAATAATACGTTAGAAAAGAATGAAATATTAAATCACGTCCATTTCTTTCCCCCTTATAATTTTCTTTCAATAAAACACATTTGAGCAACCGATTTTGCTAGCAGCAGCTGACAATGCATGTTTTAATTTCTAGCTAGGATTACCTTTCTTATAAGGTCGGATAAGCGTTGACTTAATGCAGGCTAGTTGCATAAGGATCATATATTGCGCAGTAAGATTTTGCAGAGAAACCAGGGTAGAATAATGGAGGCGAAACCAATAATATTGTCAGAATTTTTAACGTTTTATATATGTGTATGTATGCATATAAATATTATTTTTATTTAATTATATGAATGACTCTTAATAAAAAGTCCTTATATAAATCAATATCTGAAATTTTGCATAAAAATTAAATTTATGTGTGTGTCCATCAAAAACATTTTTAATTTGAGGACTATGGTCCTACTCCAAATATATTTTAATCTATGATTTAATAAGACCTGATGACCAAGTATTTATCTGAAAGCAGATCGTTTGAACAACAGATCATCTTGGAAATTGTATCACTACTGCTGAAATAAATAGTGAGCTCTACATTTTGTGAACCTCACATGGATAGAATAGAGGCGAGAGATAGATCTTTTCCTTGTTGTCTTCCTGATGCTCATATACATGAACAGTAATGTGTGTGTGTGTGTGTGTGTGTGTAAAAGAGAGGATTGTATAGTGTCTAACCTTTCCTTCAAAAACCTGATAGACGAGTTCATCGTAATTCCCAGCACTGTTTCCATCTTCGTCCACAAAAGCTCTAAACTCGAAAGAAATATTGTAACGTAAACTCTCAAGATAAGTTATTGCAGCATGGAAGACGTCAATGGAATAGCCCGAAACCTTGACTATCTGATTCACATTGGTGGTATTGAGTTGCACATCCACGAATTGGGTGAAGCCTGTTTTCTTTGGAAGTCCAATTATCAACTTCTTCCCTCCTAGGAGTGAACCAGCAGCATCATCGCCTGCTCCAATTTCAGCTATTAACAACACAACACAAGAAATCGTTACAAGGCAACCAAAGCAATAGTGATTTGGGCTTGTTGCCATCTCACCAAAAGTGCTGTGTGTGTGTGTGCCAAGAAAATGAAGAAATTAAAGGCTGGCTAGTTTGAGATCGTACATGCTACTACTTTCATTTATATAGTCCACACACACACAAAACATACATGAATATCTTCATATATGTTAAAATATTCATTAATTTATTTTTTAATATAGAAAGTAGTATGTTTGTAAGTGAGGGTTTTGGGTAAAAATGAGAAGGGTAAAGTTGTCGATATATAAAATTATAAAGGATAAGATTGTCAGAAAAATAGCAAGGGTCACTTAGGTTCAAATTTGTCAAGTTTTTGCCATGCGCATGATGCTTGGATATGCTGGGTGTTGAGTTGCTTAGTTGCTCTGCTTGTGAGGCTTGCATTGTTTGGTTTCTAGCTTTTCACAAGACATAGCTTTCCAAAACATAAAATTAACAACAACTAAGCCCAATTAAATGTCAAATATGTGCTAAGAGCTAAGAAATAGGGGATAAAAATATGTTACGAATCCATTATCCTTAATGTTGGTCTGGCATCTAACAAGAAGAAAAATATAGAAAAATACTTAAAAATCTTTGAATATGTAAGGAAAAAAAAGCAGTTGGAGACACCAATAAAAAATAGGAGAATTATTCTAAAGTCTTGATCAACACAATTAATTACTCTCAGATCCATTAATAACTAAGTTTAATGCTGTTATTTTTCTAAATTCAATTGTCAATAGATTTGAAAGTAATTAATTGTGTTGACTAAAACTTTAGAATAATTCTCCCATTTTTTTTATTGGCTAATTCAATGTCTATGGAAGCTTCGGGCAAATTATGGGAAGCATATATAATCTTTGCTTGACTTGACCTAAATGGCTAAACAAATTTAATTGACTTCCCACTTGACCAAATCAAATTTAATTGACTTTCCACTTGACCTAATCACATTTAATTGACTTCCCTCTCTCCCTCCCCCTCCCTCTAATAATTTGATTTTGTTTTGTCAGATTGATTAATGGGGCCGGCCCAGATCTCTGAATTCCAGTGCTCGATTTTGTTTTTAAATCAATGAAATATTTTTTCCTTATTTTTACTCAATTTTACTGATTGATAATTCCAAGTTCAACTCTTCGAAGAATTGACTATATAATACGATTATACAAGTATAAGATAAGAAGGGTTAAGCGACTTATTAATCCTTAAAGATGCGTGATATTCCAAGCAAAATGAGATTAAGGATGAAACCTCGAAATTTCGAGAAAGCATATTCCAACCTCGACTGAATCCATCTTCGACTTCCTTCTCCTTTTCTCCTCTTCTACGGTCTGCAGAGAAGCTTCCAGTCAGAAGCCCCATATAAATTGTTTTATTTATTTCTTTTTTTTTTCCCCCTACCTACTGATTTTTGCCATGTAGGATGCTGATTAAGTTGAGTTATAGATAACATGGACAAAAATACAAATGATAGAAAGATTGAGAACCAAGTTCTAAGCAAGGAAAATGTGTAACAAGTCATATTTGAGGAGCTTAATTTTTTTTTTTTTATAGTATATAGGTATTCTCTTATTGAAGACAGTCATGTTTGAAGTATGGTTAGACATTAAATATGAATACTTCTCCTAATGAAAGTTCAAGCTGTGGTTTGCCAAATTGTAAGGGACAACTATTTTCTGCCAAACTCAACAAGATTAATTTTGGGAAGATTCAAGCCATTGGTCTCAGGTTATAGTTTTATTGACTTTTACTTTCAGTTTCTGTAATTTATTTTTAATATTTTCAGTTCTTATAGTTCTTGTGATTTAACATCACTAGGGATTTAAGGAATAAATATCACCCAATCTTATTGAAATTATAGAAATTGAAAATACTAAACAAAACTACAGGAATTAAAACCAAAACCTGATCAAATTATAGAGACCGATGATCATGTTTTCCTTCAATTTTTCCTTTTAAATATAATAAATTTAAATGTAAAAATTAATTAATTAATATTATTTAAAATTTTAATTTTTTAATTAAAAATTTAAAATAGGAATAGGAATTCGGAAAACTGTATTTTAATATATACTTTTTTAAAATAGACATATTCCAATTTTTTCTAAAAATAAATCTTTTAAAATTAGTCCGAACAATCTAAATCAATTAAATATTAAGTATTGGACGACAAAATGAAGGATCATCTGGAAAGTTTGAAATTGAATAGATATTTCGTCTTTAAATGTTTTTTACTTCTTAAAATGAATACGATGGTAAAGCCATTGCATTTTATGATAAATTTATTTTTAGAAAGTAATAAATATTAAAATAATCTAAATAAAATTTAATTCTTTCAAATTTAAGAATGGTAAAATTATATAATATTAAAATGTATGTATTATTACACAATAGAATGTTACATTTAAAATTAAAAATTATTAATATTCAAAATTGAGAGATTTCTAGGAAACTACACTAATTATATCGAATTCATAATAATTTCACTGTATTTGACTAAATTGATTTTAATAAGCAAATGTGACACCAGGAGAAATAGTCAAAATTAGAGAGCCGGTAATCTAAGAGGGCCAGGTTTATGCAGGTTAGGTTCAATTCAGGCTGAGTCCTTAAAGTATTCTACCTTTTATAAAAAATACATATAGCTAAGCCCGGCTTTAACACTTTCAGGCTTATTTGAACTGGGCTGAATACCTGAAACTTTTTTAAAATATTTTTTCTTTATTTTTAATCAATTTTAATTTTTAAATATTTCTTTAAGCATAAAACATTATTTTTAATTTAAAATAATAAAATAAATAATAATAATTTGTCAACTTTGTACATAAGTAGATCTATTACTATTTTGTTATATTATGTGTAATTTATTCATAAATATTTTTTTATTTCAAAATTAATGTTTTAGTTGTTTCAATATTTCTCTTATTATAGTCATATATAAATATTTTATATATTTTAATTAAAGTATATTATTTTAATTATAATCAAATTGATCTCAATTTACAGTAAGACCACTAACTTAAAATTATTTTTTTAATAAGTTCAAAATTTTTAGTAACTTTTAGAAAAACTATACTTTTCATTTTTAATAATATAAAAAAATAGCCATCATTATATTACATAAAACAAAATTATTTAATTATGAGTAAAATGCTATTTTTTAGAATTATTTTTTATATTATTTTAACCCCTACATATAAGAGATATTTACTTTAGTTTATTCTTAATTTTTCACTAAGTCTAGCATAGATGATAACTAAATAATTATTTAAAAATATTATTTTATTTATTATATTTATCTAGTAGTAGAGTCGGAAATTTGTACATGCCCAAATTTTATTTTTAAAATTATTTTAAATTTTATTTTTACTTTAAAATTAATTATCTTATTTTATATAAAAATATAAAATATTTTTTGAATATGCAAATGATTTATAGGATTCAAAACTTTTTTTGAAAAAATTAGGTCCTAAAATATAAAAAATTAATATTAAAATATATTTTAAATATTATTTTGAGATATTTTATTGATACAAAATAATAAAAATATAAATATTTTTAATTTTTTAAAAAATAACTATAATAATGCACTCAAATATATAATATTTTAGTATAAAATAATATAAAACTTAAACAATTAATTAATATTGATTATATTTTATATATTTTAAAAATTTATTTTTTTATTCAGGTGTTCAGGCCAAGTCTAAGCCCGATCAGATTTGGCCCAAATTTTTTTGAATCTCTTTGGGCCACTCAAATAAGCTTAAATATTAAAAAATATTTTTTTGGGTGAGTTTTGGCTAATCCGTTAGGTTTGGTCTAAATTATCAGTCCTAATCAAAAATTTAAGTCCCGTAATTTACCCTTCAAAGGGTGCAGTTAACCTCTTACCTTGGATTGGTCCAGCTGCATAAACGCAAAGGCATCGTTGGTGGTTATATTTTCCACATACCCACAAATATATTAGCGTATCTATGGAGATGTCATAACATGACCAAGCAAGGGTTAAATTTAGAAGAGATGTCCATCCCGTTTAATGTTGGAATATTTTCAAAATTAAATGAAGAGATATTTTTAAAAAAATCACGTCTTTATAAATTAAAATTTTTTTATGAAGGGTTATGTAAAGATAGTCACTAAGATCATGTTTTTCTTGAATTTCTAAAGAAACCTTTGGAAGTTAAAAAGTGTCAGTTGGTAAAAAAATGTTAAAAAAATCTACATATTAAAAATATATTTCTTTTTATGAAAAGTTATTACAAATAACCCTAAATTAATATTAATTATTAAGTTATGTTGTTCATGAACCAATGTAGTTCATAAACTAACATATAGGGCCATGGACTAAGATGGGGTTATGACTTTTAAGTAAAGAGTTTTAAAATGTATCACTTCAAGCCATCACTTCATTATTTATAAATATCCCCTCACTGTAACTCATTTTGATTTTCCATTAACACGCATGATCTATTGAAATACGTCACTTTTGTCTTTGAATGTATTAAAGATAATACATAAAATTTATCATCTTGTAAAAATCATTATTGTTTTAGCTTGAGTTTTGAAAGTGTAATTGATAGGGACGCGGAAGCAGAATCGTGCTAGTTTAGGGACAGAACCCTGAAACAACAAAAACACAAGAACAAAAAAAGAAAGGGACAAAATTTATGACGGAAATAAAGAAAGGTATGAAGTAAACAATAGGATAATGATCAAGGAGAAGATCCTCTAGAGCACCTGCCTCTAGGAACCTCAACCTTCGAAGACACCACAAGAGTTGATCACGCTCTTGATCACGTCGGTTTCTCACACGGGATACCACCACAAAGCACTAAGGCTCACAAGAGTTATAAACTCTAAAATGAATAATTTCATTCAACTTCTGTCTGTTTACAATAGGAAGCATGCCTAATTTATATAGGCTCATAGAAAAATATTTCCTAAAATTAAAACCCTAATTTCCTAATACTAAAAGGAGAAATAATGATAAAATATTCAGCCACATAATTTAGGAGATGTGATCCTAAAATTATGGGATTACAAAATTTAGAAATTAATATTATAATTAATTCTAACCTTTGACTAGACTCAAAATAGAAAATCAAATCAAAGGACCATTAAAATAGGAAATAATTTAGGAGACAATCAAGGGATGATAAAGGATTTGAAATCACGCCACCCTTGACTTCTTTACTAGGGTTTCATGCCTCCTTGCATGCAAGAGGCTCAACTTGTAGTCTTCCTTGCATTGGGCTAAGGTCTGCATCTCTTGGGCTTGACTCTTCATGAGTTTGGATCTTAAATACATTATACACGTATAGATGCTCTCCTTTGGACTTGAGGGGAGTGCCCCAATGCTCTCCAAGCTCTTGAACTTCTTGCACAAGACTGAACAAGGCTTGCTTCATGGCTTTGGTTCGGGCTCTTGTCATTGGACCTCCAATATGTTGCAATGGGTCTTTAGGTACGTTGGATTGGAAGTATTGGGCTCCTTCTATGTCACCATGCTCATGATTACCATCCTCAGGCTTCGTTGCCATTAATGCTATGTCACCCGTGCCATGGGGTCCATCATTCCCTCCCAGTTGGAAAGGATTCGTCCTCGAATCTGCAGAATCATATAAAGATAAATCAGAAACATTAAATGTGGCACTAACATTGCCATAAGAGCTAGGCAAATCAATCTTGTAAGCATTATCATTAATTCTTTCCAAAACTTGAAAAGGTCCATCTCCTCGAGCTTGAAGTTTGGACTTCCTTTGATTAGGAAATCTCTCTTTCCTTAAATGTAACCAAACCCAATCTCCAGGCTCAAAGATCACACGTCTCCTGCCTTTATTAGCTTGCTTGGCATATTGCTCATTCTTTCACTCTATATTTGCTTTAACCTTAGCATGTAAGTCCTGCACAAACTTAGCTTTTTCCTTGCCATCAGTGTTAGCATGCTCAGAGAAAGGCAAAGGTAAAATATCAATAGGAGATAATGGATTGAAACCATAAACAATTTCAAATGGAGAATAAGAAGTAGAAGAATGAACAGCCCTGTTGTAAGCAAATTCAATATGAGGTAAACAATTCACCCAATTCTTCAAATTCTTCTGAATTATTGCTCTTAATAATGTAGTCATAGTTCTGTTAACTACCTCAGTTTGACCATCAGTTTGTGGATGGGCAGTAGTGGAAAAAAGTAACTTAGTCCCTAATTTATGCCATAGGGTACGCCAGAAATGACTAAGAAACTTCACATCTCTGTCACTCACAATAGTCTTAGGTAAACCATGCAAACGAACAATCTCTTTAAAGAATAAGTCAGCAATGTTAACAGCATCATTAGTCTTAGCACAAGCAATAAAGTGTGC